TCCAGCCAATCACTTCGAGCCAATTCTGGGGTCTGTCCATTTTTTTCTGACATATGTACAGATCTTTTTTTTTTCATGAGGGGTGAAGAATAAAAAGTCAATCAAAAAATTGTGGCCAATCTCCTGTAATTCTTTTTCCTTTTTATTGTTGTTTTTCTCTTTTTTTGTTGTCACTTTGCCAAATACCTTTGGGTGCATCTACTTCCACTGCTGCCCATAAGAATCCTGTGAAAACTCCATGGTGTCATTACTGTAACCATAGTTACCGGAATAGTCGGCCCCCTGCTGCAGGGGCTGCTGGGCGATGGGCTGGGACCCCCAGTTCTGCTGGTTGTTGGTCTGGCGGCGCTTGGAGTCAGGCTGGTTGAACACGTCTGCCTTCCTCTTCCCGCCGACGTTCCCCCCGCGGTTTCCTCTGGCCCCGCGTGGCCCGCGGCCTCTCTGCGGCTGGAAAGGGGCTCCCCGCCCCCCGCGGCCACCCCTAGGACCACCGAGGGGTGGTCCCCTTTGGGCGTAGCCCCCACGGCCTCGCGCCGGGGGTGCCCCACGAGCTCTAGGTGGAGGAGGCCCCCCCCTGCTAGGACGAGTACCACGGCCCCTCATGCTGTAGACATCTTCATAGCCGTAGTAAGGGTCTTCATAGCCACCACGGTAGTCATGATAGTCGTAGCCATAGTAGTCATCATAGTAGTCGTCATACCCATAGTAATCAGGGGGATAGGAATAGCCCCCCCGGCCACCGCGACCCCTGCCTCGGCCTGGTGGCGGCATGCGGGGAGGGGGGTAGTAGTAATAGTCATCATACCTGCAGAGGGGAGGACAAGTTCATTTAATGATTCCTTATGAGAGAATACACTTATGCCTAAAGCATTTTAAACTGTAAATTAGCCTAGCAGCTAACAAAGTTAAGCAGCTAAACTTAACTTTGTTCATATCTCTTTTACTCTTACTTAGTTTAAGTCACTCTCCGACAGAACAGAGCATCGCGGTTTGGCATTTAGTTTTTTTCCAATTTTGCTGAAACACAGCAGCTAATATTGCTAGAAAGAACAACAAGTCGGCGTTCTGCCAAGTGTTTGAATTATGTCTCTATGTGTGTTTGCAAAGCCCAACCCTCTGGGAAAAACTGAGTTCAGCGAAGAGAGAGAAACTACCTCAACAGTAAAATGTGTATTAACTCACATACTGAGCTTTCAGGGAAAACACAGGAGTCCCATGTCTCTGTTACTCACCCAGAATTCCTAGTGGTCTGGCGAGCTGCTTGTCGCTCTTTCCTCTTTTTATCTGGCGGCTTTGCCAGGACGATCTCAATTTCCTCTCCTCCTAGCTCCTTCCCGTTCATCTCATCCATTGCCTAACCAAACAAAACGATAAACTACTGTAACATACATGGCGATAATCAGACATGCAACATATCTTGTCCAAATAATGAAAAACACACCTTTACAGCAGCATCCCTCTCCTCAAAATGGACAAAAGCATAATCTTTCAATTTCTTCACTCGCTCCAGCTTTCCAAACTGAGAGAAGGTCTTTTCAAGAAGCTCTTCAGTCACTGATGTGGCCAGCTTTCTTACAAAGAGCACCTTGACCTATGAAATCAAAAACAAAGAGAGACAGTTTGTTGCCCTGTAGAAAATGCATGTTTGTGTTTTAAAGAGAAAATATATGGGACCAACCTTGGCCATGACCTCGGCGTCTGGCTCAGCAACAGGGTCGGCCCACTCCACAGTGACCGGGTTCCCCCACACCTTCACTTTGCCGCTCATCAGGCGGCGGCGAGCCTGCGCTGCAGACTTGTGATCTTCGTACTCCAGGAAACAGAAGCCGCGGTTCTTCTTCTTGTCATCCGGCTGGTGGTACAATATGACTTCTTGGAGACCCTCTGTGAGATAGACAATAACATCTCTAACTTCCAAAACAGTTGTCCTGTCTATAATCCTAAATTAATTTATTTTAAAGAAGTTACTGACAAAAATCTCCCTCCTTGCTTTGGGACTGACCTGTAACTTTGCCAAAGTCTTCCAATATACTTTCCCTTGTCTTGTTCTTTGGAATTGATCCGACAAACAGGCGATTGTTTGCAACAGATATACAGACTCCCAAGTACTTGCCAGGGCGGATTTCATGGTTATCACACTGAAAATGAAATCATGTGAAACTCATTATAAATGAACACCAACTTTAAGAATTAGGCCATTTTAAGCTTGTATCCTTTTAAATAATACTCCATATATCAAATAGGACTATTTCAAACTGTCTCCAGCATTCCTTTAAAACTAACTCAGTTGTTATATAATTTGATGCATTTCTTCAAAAGGCTATACCATGCTACTTACAAGCTTCACAGCCTTTTGTGCATCATCCTTATTGCAGTAGGTGATGAAGGCGTAACCCCTGTTCTGACCAGAGAGAGGGTCCATCATTAGCCTAAGGTCCCAGATGGAACCGGCCGACTCAAAGAGAGGCACCAGCTCATCTTCATACAAATCCCTTGGGATTTTTCCAACAAACACCTGAAAAAGAAAGGAGAAACAGGTGGACAAGTGTTAGGATTTGTTCATAAATACATATCATGTTTTGCAGAATTATAAATGGTGCTGTAACACAGATCTAATGCCGTTTCCCCCATAAATATGAGACATTGAATGATGAGAGGCTGCTGTATAGACGTCTCTAATCTACCTCTGTTCCAATCCCTGGTTGTATTCCTTTGAACACATCCTCAGGTGGGGGACCTCCGTACTTTCTCTGCCCTGTGGTGACATCCAGGGTGTATCCCGTCCGCTCCAACAGAGTCTGAAAAACAACAACAACAAAAAACATTAACTGAGCAGCATGACTGCGCAGGAATGTTTGAATGACATTCATTCTAATCCATTTATGCAGCAAAGCTCTGCTTCAGTAGTTTGTTTACCTTTATTTTTGCCTCATCTGGGCCCTTTGTAGATTCCTGTACTTTACTTCCTTGTTTTTCTCTCTGTCTGTAAGTCTTCATGACTCCACAAAGGAAAGCACTTTTATTCTATATAACAAAAAGAAAAAAAAGTTATTATTTTGTCTACAATAACATGAAACTCCTCACCAAGACAGAAAGGCAGTAATCCATTCAAGTATTTACCTGCACATGGGACAGGTCGCTCTCTTTGAACTGCTGCAGCACAGTCAGTGCTCCCTCCTCATTGAACTCACGCAGGGCATCAATGGCCCTTTCATCGAGGTCAACATACGCCACCAAGCCTACATTTAAAAAGCATGTTCAGAGTCAGTACAAGCTACATCTGCTATACTCCAGCCCAGCTTCTTAATATGACATGTTAAAGCTCTTAGAGACAAAAAAACTCTCACCCACCTGTCAGGAAAATGTTATCCAAACTTTCAGCCACTTTCTGGGGCAGCCCAGCATCAATGAGCGTCTGGTAGTTTTCTGTGTGTGTTGTTGTCACATCCATGGGCTCTTCTTCCTCCTTAACCGGGGCAGAGCTACCGTTTACCTCAGCGGCAGCCATTGTCCTGTAGACGGATAAGATAACCCTTTATTAGTCTCACAGTAGAGACATTTCATAAATAAGAAACTGTTATTAAGCAACTTGTTTTCAAACGGATGGATGTTGTGATCTGACTTTGAACCATAAACGTTACTTTATTGATGCAATACAAGGAATTTCTAAAAACCGTAAAATCAGCAAACTATGAATTACATGCATTATAAACACTGTTAGACAAATGAAATGCATGTGAAAAGGAGAAGATATTGCACGGTAACATAACACGGTGACTTAGGAAGACACCGTCCCGCCCCCTTCACATGCAGCCTGCTAGCTACCGAGGTTGACACATTTTATTTTCATATTTACATGTAGTCATACACTGGGCGAACGCTATATATTTACAGTCACATAAAATGGGCAGTTTTCATTGCATAATATATGTTAAATTATAATCTTGAGCCAACAGTGCTATTGTTTAGCGGGCTAGCTAACGAGCTTATGCGAAGGCCTCGGCGTGCAGAAAGACAGCTTTCAGACACATGCTTTGTACAAGGTGTCAACACATAGTTAGCATAACTCACCAGTCTGATTCGGGACGCTAACAATGGCGTGTGTTAAAATGCGGGACGATTAACTTGTCGCACGTAAAAAAAAAAGACAATTATGAAGAATACGTTTGAGTCCAACCCACGAGACAAATTTCCAGACAGCTACGGTCTCGTCGTCGGCTCGCCCGAACAACGCCACCGCTCAGCAACGCTCGCGAGATTTGGTGGGGAAACGCGCAGTGGGACGGGTGTTCGTTTTGACTACTTTTCATGGCGATTTGCAGCATAGTCCCCGCCAACTGTAATGTCACAGATGTATTATATCCTTAATATCATTCCTGTATCTTGTGAAAAGTATGAAATAATACTTGACACAAATTAGGGAAGAATATTTCATTCCACACTAACAAAATTAGAGGATACAGTTACATCCAATTGAAGTAGCAAAGATATTCAGCACGTAATCGGGCAACGCGGGGACTTAAAAACAAGTGCTTCATCATCAACTACCCAACCACAGAGGATGAACTTTGACTGACACGACTTCAGCCCAATGATCCATCCATCCATCCATCCATCTTCTCCCGCTTATCCGTGGTCGGGTCGCGGGGGTAGCAGTTCCAGCAGAGAGCCCCAAACTTTCCTTTCCCTGGCCACATCAACCAGCTCTGACTGGGGGATCCCAAGGCGCTCTCAGGCCAGCGAAGAGATATAATCCCTCCACCTGGTCCTAGGTCTACCCCTTGGTCTCTTCCCAGCTGGACGTGCCTGGAACACCTCCCTAGGGAGGCGCCCAGGTGGCATCCTTACTAGGTGCCCAATGATATTCATCTGTTTTGTGCAGAACTAAAACAGGTTCAACCTTATTTTCGAATAAACACAGTTGACCCAAAGCATACAAACAGCTGACATTTTGGAAATAAACAAAGGACATACAAAAAGCCACACACATTTGCAAAAGCTTTCATGAAATAAAAAAATTAAGTGCTTTATTGGTAATAATTAAGGCAGTTCAAAGTGGACCTGCCTTGGCCAGCAGTAAACCAATCAATAGAAGATATTGATTGACTTTGGAATCAGATGATGATAACTGGCTTTAGTCGTCATGGTTCAGCTTTCTAATTTTGCCCTTATGGCGGTCAATCTCCCTTTGTAGGCGCTCAATCTCCTTTTTGTGGTGCTCAATCTCCTCTGAATGATGCTTCCTCAGTGCCTCCATCTGCGCCTTCTCCTTTTGCCTGCAGGTTAAAAGTGGCTGGGTTAAAATCATGTGTGAAACCATGGCCACAGGCATGAGCCTATTACAATGTGATAACAAATATACCGGCGTGTTTCTCACCTAAAGTAATGCTCCTCTTGTGCCACTTGTCTCTTTCCAAATGCACCCCCTGCCTCCCTCACAGAGCCTCCTCCACCTCCACCTTTGCCCGCTCCCTTGCCCAACTCTCCAAGCTGGTGGTCAACAGAATTGTATTTGTTAGATATCAAAAATACACATTTAAAGGATCCTCTTGTTTGTAAATCAAATGAGGTTGCTTAAAATATTTGAATAACTTATATCTAACAAATAACTAAATTAAAGTCTTCCTCCTATTGCTCATTGTGTGAACTGAACTACAATACAATACAATCAATGTCTAATACAATACAATCAATGTCTTTATCTGTAAGGGAAAGATAATAGCCATAAATCAAGAACAACACAACGATTGATAAAACATATTACATAACCCTTTAACAATCTCAGCAAAGGCACAGGGAAACAGTTCATTCTTTTTTTGGAAGACATGGCAAAGCACATTTAATGTATGTTTCTATACTCTCACTGCGAAAGGTGACACACATGTAACTCCTTGCTCCTTAACCTACTTGCTGTCTATGCAGACGTGTGTATTTTTGGAAAAACCTAAATGTATGTTATGACTGTGTCACAAGATGTGGGGAAAGTACTAAGATGATTTACTCACTGGCAATATCATAATGAAAAACATAAGTGTTAAGTAGCATCTAATTAAATAGTAACATCAATTGAGTAAAATGTTATTCCTTAGATTCAAGCCCTGCCAGTTAAACAGGATTTATATATTTCAGAGTTCAAGATTAGCAACATTAAATTGTAGCCATAAGCAACATGCTGCAGTCTTGACGACCCGCACAATATAGTTGACCCCTAAATATAATTAAGCAAGTAGCTAGCCTTGCTAACTTAGTCCGAAAACAACTACTCCTGCTGATATGAGCAAGCTAATGCTAACAGAAAGTCAACATCTGTCACCAGTCCACCGCAGTGTGACAGTACCTGATCAGATGCCATCCGTATCTGAGAGGCGACGCACCTCCGGAGGTCTGCTCTGAGGAGAAATCGTGCCATTTTTTTATATGTAAAACTGCAACAGGGCAGATAAAAACTTAGGTGACCGATCCAAAACACGGACACTTGAAGGTAGTAAACGCCTCATAAGGGGGCGTTTACAGAGGCACCTCTGATACATGTTTGCTTACTTGCTGCCACCAGGCGGCGAGGGGTAAGAATGCAGAGGGTATGTACAGTGGGCCAGGACCTTTAAATATACAGTCTATGGCCAGCACTAAACTATGCAAGTAGCTCGTATATTTTCTTCGCTTACATAAATGCAGAGGTGGAACAAGTACTCAGATCTTGTACTTGAGTAAAAGTAGAAGTACGAAAGTGTAGGAATCATAGACTGTGTAGGAATACTCGTACAAGTAAAATGCCTGCATTCAAAAGGTTACTCAATTAAAAGTACACAAGTATTAGCATCAAAATATACTTAAAGTATCAAAAGTAAAAGTACTCTTTCTGCAGATTGGCCCATTTCAGAATAATATATATAATATGTTTTGATTATAATTATTGATGCATTAAAGTGATATCAAAGCTGGTAAAGGTGCAGCTAGTTTTAATGACTTTGTATACTGCAGGGTAGCTTGTGAATTTACTCCAGGTGTAACTAAAGTCTGATTTAAGACTTGATTATATTCACATAATTAATCCAAATCTGTAAAGTAACTAAAGGTATTACATAAATGTTTGCAGGTCACCCTTGAAAAAGAGATCTTTTGATCTCAAGGGGCTTTCACCTGGTTAAATAAAGGCTACAAACAAACAAACAGGAGTAAAAGTACACCATTTACCTCTGAATTGTGGTGAAGTAGAAGTACAAAATTAGCAAAATACTCAAGTAAAGTACAAGTATGTCAAAATTGATCTTAAATACAGTACTTGAGTAAATGTACTTAATTACTTTACACCACTACATAAATGTAATATTAAGTGGCAAATTTTGCAACCTGCACTGAAGGTGTGCTGGTGCAAAAGTTGTAGTGTGCTATTTATGTGTTTAGATTTATAGATATTTTTACATGATATGTTTTATAACCTTATTCAATTGGTATTGTAGATTTCGCTGAGGAGCAATGCAGTACAATTACCATGCAGTAATAATATCATAAATCATTGATTACATGTTGTATGTGATCTGAATCTAGTAGGTAGGCCTAATTACTACCTAAAGTTACTTCATACATGTATTGGATTAAAGCTTATATTTCAGCATAAATGAACACTGCTAAAAAGCTTTGCAAGCCTTTGTAAATAATGCCATGATCACATTTTGTTACCACTATCTACATACTTATGCAGCAATATGACATCCTTGTGTTGTTGGCTTATTATTCAAAAAGGATGAGCAATGCTCACCTCTCAGGTGCTAGGTGAGACACACTCAGCAGCACAAAGGAAAGCTTCCAGTACAGAGTGGAGGTGGGTGTTTAGTACAGATTAGTCATAATGGAGTCCCACTGATGAACAGTCCTCCCTGCCATACCATGCTCATCACAGCACAGTGTTGTATGAGCTCTGCGTCCCTGACACTTCCCTTCCTTCGTCTGAATCCACCAGAGTTCATGATCAGTGGGCACATGTAGGTGTAGTGCTGTGGTGATGACGTACCTCATCCTGTTCAGCTGTTTGGGTTCAGCGATGACCAAGATGTTCCCAATGCTCCTGTGAAAAGAGCCATTCATAGCTGTTTGTCCACTGTGTTCTGTAATATCTATGGTATAGATTACATGTAATGAAAGGGATAAAAGCTTTTACACAACTTGGACGTTGTGCAACTGAGTAAGATGAGTAAGATCCGCAAACTGAAGAATTGTACTTTCTTTTCAAAGTTAGATTGAAACACCTGAAGATACATTTTGGACATGAGATGCATTTGCACACCAGAGGTAGTTACACTCTTGCAACAAATGGTGGCAGTAGACTCTCGTATAGACAGAGACCATGTGTCTTGCAGTGAAAATGGATATAAGCTTCATTTAGCATTCATATATAACAATTCCTTCTTCTACTGTAATGGACGACAGCGAGAGCTGCACGTTGCTTCAAACGAGGATTGAGTTTCAGACAGAACAATAAATATACATATTCATTATTGTGCTGCATTCGTCAAATAACTCAACTGCAACAAAACAAAATAACTGATTACTTGTAAAGAGTTACTGATACTAATAATTTCAAAAGCATCCTTGTTTCCCAAATGGCAGATACTACACATGATCTAATGAAAAATATCCTCCAAAGGTATAACCGGAAGTCATTTTGCCTTGCTTGGGAGATAAACATTATCCCACACGCTGAGGCAAACTAAACTTTGAGGTTTTTTTTGTGTGTGGCTGTGTGCGGTTGTGCAAGTTTTTCTATGGTCATGTATGGACTTCCGGTCCACTGGGTACAGAGCAGCCAGTTATGTGGATCCTTTCAGAGCTGCTCACCTCGCTGGCTCAAGTGTTGCCATAGGAAATAGTATCCTGGCAACAGCCCTAACCTGAGCAAAGACAAAGTAAGGTCATGCAGACAACAAGATGTGGAACAATTTTCCTGTATGAACAACCTCTGTTTTCAAGGACATTCATTATAATTGTGTCATATTATCCTTTCTGCATTTTTATGAAATATTACATTTAGTATGAACTCACATGACTCTATTATAAAGACCTTTTGGTGCAGTGTTTTATAAATCCACATGTTTGGATTTCATGCGTAATGCCTGCTTTTACCAGTGCACTATCAATAATTTGCAGGAAATAGCGTTCTCATCTAAAATCCTTTCATACCTCTGGGGAAAAAGCATATGGATAAACCCCTGGGAGTGTAACTGAACCTATTGTTCAGGATTTTAATTTTGCGTAATAGCAGCTAAGGTAATAGCAATGTGTGTAATAAGGTGCTCAAATAAGAGATTCCTTTTTGTAAAATCAAATTGCATTTAAATAGCAATGCAGGCAATTGTACACTATGGTATTTTGAAAGCATAAACCTTGATCGGTGTTTTTAAAGTATTTCGATCTCTTGGTTTCCTTTATATGCAATCAACATGCACATCAAATCTGCTGGTGCTGAAACTCCTTGTTCCCATGATCAGCTTGTATGTTGCCACTGTTGCCATGGTGACCACCAGGACCGATAAAGGGGTCCAGATTCTGTGTGTTCGGTACACTCAGGTCTTTTGACCAGGGAACAGAGGCAGAGATTATTTAACAGATTTACAGGCAGCGTGACAATAATTAAAGGAGAATTGACTAATTTAGAAACCAGTTACAATGTGAAGAGTGTGTCCCGAAAACAGCCAGTTCTTCTGGAACAGTTAAGGTCCATCTCCTTTTCCCCCCAACCAGGTAGCAATGAATCAGGCTGCTCTGTCAAAGGGCTGTTGTTTATCTGTTTTATCGGTTTTATTTGTTCTATGTCCTATATATATTAATGTTGCACTGTTGGAGGAGCCTGTTTTTCATTGCCATATCTACACGGTAGCTATTGTGCACATGACAATAAAGCCTTGAATCTTGAATCTTTAGCATTTATTCATACCATTTTCACTTGTCTTGAAAGTGTGCCACAGATGTATGTAAACAATGTGCATGCTGACAGCTCTGTCCCAAATAATATTCATTAAGTGCTAACTATTGACTCACTCTCTTGTGAACACATTGAGCCTCTTTACAGGTTCCAGCTGATTTCATTGTACAAAATGTACGTTTCCATTTTAGAGCCGCCTGTATTCCAGCAGTAGCAAAGCTGGTCATTAGCCTCCCCCGGTCCAGTCGACCCCTGGGGTTAGCGTATGGTCGGAAAGTGTTGAAAGCACTCTTAAGAGTCTGTTGACATTTAGCTATGACGCACAGACACAGCTGTAATCAAGCACATTTGACTTCTCATCATTTAGAAGTAAAGGAGCCACATCAGGAGGTAAAGTACAAAAAAAAGAGATTGTGTGTGTGTGTGTGTGTGTGTGTGTGTGTGTGTGTGTGTGTGTGTGTGTGTGTGTGTGTGTGTGTGTGTGTGTGTGTGTGGTGTGTGTGTGTGTGTGTGTGTGTGTGTGTGTGTGTGTGTGTGTGAAAGAGAGAGAGAGAGAGAGGAACACTGTTTCCACAGAAACATAGAAAATGTTAGAAAAGTCTCTGTCATTGCACAGAATACAATTACATTGAGTGCTACTTCTGATCAGTGAAAGACACATAATAGAAAGAGGAAAACATCAGAAACAAATAACATCAGCAAACAACTTTAACAGAGGAAATACTAGTAAATAAATTACAATGTAATATTGCTCTTTAATCAGAGTACATCATTATTATTCAGGAATATGATTTGTGCTTATTCTAGATGAGATGGTCCTCATCATCATTGCTGCTCCCTGTGCTAGAGTCTGAGTGCTCAGTGATTGCTTTAAATATATATTGACAAGAGAAGTTCTGCCTCATAAAAAACAGATAAGACGACGGGTTAAGCATTTTAGAGTCTTGCTTTTGGATCTGACATGCTCTGGAAGACAAGAGTCTCATTTTAGCTGCAGGATATGCAAAAGTTAAGTAAACTATTTATCTGTTCTATTCAACAGCAATGTTTAACATAGTGCATGATCTTCTGCAACAGATGCAGTTTCACCAGTCATTATGGATTTTATAGCGCTCTATTCATTTTCAATTTTGAATGTGAACATCTACAATTCCATTAAAAACTCTATCTGTTGATGAGGACAGTGCGATGTTATTAAAAGCTCCAAAACAACTGTGAAGCGGACATTGTAATGAGAAATGATTGATGTTTCCAAGTGTTATAGCTGGAATTGTCTTGTTTCTTTAGTTGTGTCCACTCCTAAAAAACATTATATAACATAACACTAAATGGACTTGAATCTGTTGCTAGAGTGAAGGATCAGGTGCTTCTGTGTTGTTGACAAGTTGCAGTTATACATGTTTAAAGACATTGCCTTAAATCCATGATCAAATCCATTCATTGTTCAACTGTCTCTCTAATGGCTGCTTCGGTCTTCTTCAGATAAAATGTCACCTCTGTGTCATACCATTTTAAGGCAACAGCGTGCCAATAGCAGCAGCATCATGGATTAATGCGTATAGGCAAAGCTACTTTACCCTC